GCTTTGAAGATTAAGCTAAATTATGAAAAGAGGAAAAACTCAGATTGGCTAAGGCAAAAAAGAAATTACAGCATATCTGAAGAGTTATCTAACAAAGCATCACCTATTGATATAAATATTAAAGTTACCAAATACATATGTGCAATTAAAGGTAGAATACACTTGGATCACCTGATTGGCATCTTTCATGTTTTGTATATCATTTAATTCTAAATTCTAACATTTAGGGAGGCTGAGGCAGGCAGAAGTCAACTTTAAGTCCTGCCTAGGCAAATTAGTGAGACCCTGTCTCAAAATTTTAAAAAAATATATATTAAAAGGGCTGGAATTGGAGCTCAGTGGTAGAATGCTCCAGGTTCATTCCCCTAGTGCTTCAAAAAATAAAAAAAGGAAAGAAAGAAAGCTCTTAATTCTTTTTAAAGGTACAGAATATGTAAAAATGGAGTGTGTTAATTACATCATCTGTTTGAAGAGTAGCGTTTCAGGGCTGAGATTTCCAAAGCCTTGTGCATTTTTCAGAAGATCTAGTTTAGAGACGCCAATCAGTGTGTGGATTTCGGCTTAGCTCGAAGATCTTGCTAACTGCTTTTGGTTCCCCTACTAACACATCAGCAAACCATCTTTCACCAGACAGCCAAACATAACCTCCGGATGCAAGGCCGTGGGAATCAATAGAGTCAAAGTATTTTTAGGAACTATTGATGGATGGCTGTATTTGGAGCTAACTCAAGTGCCAGACGCCCCCGAGCTGACGAAGATGAACTCGCCATTCACGGAGATCCATCCGGGCCGTCACGCACACAGAGCTCCAGGATGGCCGCAATTGCTCTGCAGGTCGGGGGACAGTTCTTGCACGTTTCTCGGTCACTCATAGCAGATGTCGATGAGGACTCCGTACTGCTGTTCTTGCTGCAGCAAGGTGTTACCCAAATCAATTGATTGCCCAGTCAGTTTGATTCTTCCTGAACCGAAGTGGTACCTCAGTGGACTCCCCGCCAGCTCACCCAGTGGACCTGGGGGGCTTCTTCGTGCCTTGCTGCAGGGCCGCACCCTGCTGGTCCCAGATGGGCACCGGCCAGCCAGTGCCTTTTCCCCGGCGGCCCCCCGTCTCCTCTCCGCCATTGCTCCTTTGCCTCCCCGTTCTGACCGTGGCTTTCTGAGCTCTCGTTCAACACCAAGTTTGATAACCTCCCAGTCCTGGGATCTTGTAACTGTGACGTCGCGGGACAGCGCTGTGCAGCAGCGAACGAATTAATTTTCCACCTCGGGATGTGCAGGTACAGCGCGGCGCTAATGGCTGCCTAGCCCTCTCCTAAGGCAGCCCTGCAGAAGGCGGGAGCCGCGTGAAGCTGTGCTTCTGTCAGCAAGCTGAAAGCCCCGGGTCTCTGACACGGCTCTCAATTGCTAGCAGGTTTCTCTCATTGCACCTCATTTGCATCTGGGACATCAATTAGCATGTTTGTTGAGGCTAATTGAATGAAACTCAATCATAGCTCTTAATTGCTTGACTATGTGAAAAGAAATCACATTAATGCAGCTAATTAAGTGTACGGCAATAGATGCAACATAATTAGGAGCGAAATGTGAAAAACAAGGGATGGCAAAGGTGCAGGAGCTGGGGTGCAGGGGGACAGCGAGGCGCGGTTGCCGAGCCCTTGGCGCGTTCAGGAACGGGTCCCTTTGCTCTGGCGCCTGCTTGGAAAAAATAATCCGCATGATGAGCGTGGACAACTTGAGAAGAAAAATGCAAATAGGTTTGCAATTACTACTTTTTCAAGCTGTTGAGGGGCAGGAGATGGCACCTCTGGGGGGCTTGGCTCTTGAGTGGGCCCCAGGGACTTGTTAAGTGCTGTTTAAAAGTACTTGGCTTTGAATTACCCTCATGCCTTGTTAAAGGGTTTTTTCCTCTTTTATCTTCGATCAGCATTTTCTACAACTAACACAGAGAAGGGTAGTAGCCGTTGCATTTGCATATCAAAATCAAGCTTGCTGTCTTTATTTTACCCGGGGAGGTCCCTACCTCAGACCCATCCCGGGGTCCACACACCCGCTTCTAAGGAGAGGACATAGTGTAGTGGCTGCAGCTTTCTCTCCTCGAGTGCCAGGCTGTGGGAGAGATGAAAAGGATGGGTTCTTTCCAAAACAGCCCGCTCGGTGCAGCTTCTCCCAGGAGAAGCTAGAAGCCCGAAGTCGTGTGTCTTCGTACTCCACCTGTTTGTGAAGCACCAGGTCAGAGGCTTTTACGCCCCGGGTGTCGGATTTTGTAAGCTTTTAGCATTTTTCTCGTGGCTTGAAATACAGAAGTGCCAGATTGATATTCTGGCTTTTGAGAGCCAGTTCCTCTGAAGTTTCAATGCCTGACTCAGGCGAGAAAACAGATTCCCTCAACCCATGCTGCGCCCAAGATAAATGTCCTCCCTTGGTGCATTCAGATCCGGGGAGCAGACACTCAGTACATTTGTATAATAATTTTAAATAAAATATCCTGGTTATTGTATGTTAAAACATGCCTATTAAAAGAGCCCACGCTGGGGCTTAGTCACTCTCTGATTAGCCTCATTTTAGAGCTCATAAGCAATAAATGCTCAATTACACTCCTGTTATTGTATTTTAATTTGTTAAGAATTGGCATTAGAGGAGAAAGTTATAGCAAGTTGGTATTTTTAAAGGAGTAACTATGCAAGGAGGGGTTCGTTGTTTACAAGCGTTAACTTTGGCTTTGAAACTTGGTTGCATCTTCTGGGTGGATATTAGTGGAAGTAAATTACAGATGCTTAAGAGCAACCTCTTCTGAAATGACCTGCACTAACCGGCCGAAGTTCACTTTCTTCTCTGCTGCGGGGTCACATGCTGTCCCCGGCGCTGAGCCGGGTCGCGAGAGTCCTTGCATTGCCCAGCCTACCTCATCCTGAGTCTGGCGTAGTGATCGCATCTTTCCCATCTTTGGGCCACCTCCTCCCAAAGCCAGCCTTTTCCCTAGGTGATTCTATTTTGGGGAGACAGACATCCATTCTATCTTGGATACCAAGCCTTCCATCAGCTCTTCCATCACATTGGCTGTCCTCAGCCCGGCGGTGACCTTCCACTTTCCCAGACCTCAGTGGACTCTCCACCCGCTCGCCCTGTGGACCTAGGGAGACTTCGTGCCTTGCTGCAGGGCCGGTGGCCTCAGGTGGGCACAGGCCAGTGCCTTCTCCCCAGCGGCCCGTCCTCTCCTCCCAGCCATTGGTCCTGTGCGTCCCTGTTCTGGCCTTGGCTTTCTGAGCTCCCCTTCAGCACCAAGTTTGAGGTCCTTCCTCAGGGAGACCCCAGGTCCCTGTGTTCCCGGTCTCCCACTTGCCTGTGCCCTCACCTTCCAAGTCTGTCCCCGCCTTGCCCCATGGATGGATCCAACTCCCCTTCCCTGCAGCAGATGCGCCATGTGAGGGCAGCTGTGCCCTGGACCGGGCTTGTGGGCCTTGCCCCTGAATTGGGATGTTGGCCTCGGGCATCCTATTGTAGCATTCCTGCGGGCAGGAACATCCTGAGTGTTGATGAAGAAAAGACTTCTTCCAACCCGCTTCACCTGTGGGAACCTGAAAACTGTCGGACAGTGCAGTTCACAGGTGGCCAGCTTGTTTCCTGGAAGCCAGTGGCCTTCCCGTGGCCTTCCCGCGGCCTCCCCGGCTGTTTCTGCGTAGCTCTTTCAGTACATTTTGTCCGACTTTCCTCATCCTGCAGATTGGGACCTCTCTCCCTTGCCCTCGGCTCGCGTCTTTACCACACGCACTCCTCCAGCCTGCCTGGGTCCCTCACACCAAGCACTGCATGGACCTCAATCATGTACTGCAAATACAAACTTAAAATTTAGAATCTAAAAGAAAGCTACCAAGAATCTGTCAAGGAAAGATAGGTTTATTCCTACTGCCTGCTTAGTCCTAAAACCCTTGATATGTTCTTTACCCAAAGAGTGAACTAGAATACATCCTGTTGCCCCATGTCACAACAGTTAATTTGTAGCCAGTGTGCATAAAATACTGTGTCTGTAGACAAGAAGGTTCCATGCAAAAATAGTAATAATGATAATAATAATAAAAGACTATGCTTTAAAAAGTCAGTAGCTCCTGATTTACCCACAGTCCCTTCACTCTGGCTCTCAGTTGCTATTTTAGCTTTCTGTCACTATGACAAAGTATACCTAAGATAATTAATAAGTAAGAAAGGTTTTTCATGGTTCATGGTTTCAGAGGGGTCAGACCATGGTCAGTTGGAGCTGTTGCTTTCATCTTCCACCTCTTTCCATCATCACCCAGTTCTCGGGTATTGTTTTGGTCCCTGCCGAGTCAGGAGACCTGCATTTCTGTCTACCTGGGCTTCTGTCTGATAAGTCACTCGCCCCCGAGGCACGGGCAAGGAACCTTTTCATGAACAGAGATGTGAACTGCTTGGAGAAACATACCACCCAAGAGCCAAAAGCTGCACATTCTTTTCAGCATCCAACTTTGCCATATCCTCCCATGCATTCACTGCATTTCTGGTACTGAACCACACACTCCACACGCGCTCATTAATTAAACACTTGACCTTTATTTGCATGTGGTTGTAACTGAATTCCCACCACACAGCTCCAGCCCCACTTAGAGGTTTAATGGCATTCCCAGTGGAGACAGGAAGGTTATGATGACATAGTTTTGCACTCCGTGGAATCTTCTAGGATCCACAGGATGTGCCATCTAAAAAGCAAGGGTTCAAAAGGTAGGATTTTGTGTGTGCATATATTTTCTAATCCTCACAAGGGAAGTCTCTGCCACAGCCCTTAGCTTGGGACATGGTCACAAAACTCTCTTTAAACATAAGGATGATGCTTCCCACGCCATACAGACACAAACCTCACTGTTTGCCGAGGCCTACCACAGTGGAAGGGTCACAGGACCGAGCTCGCGACGTGTGACAGAACCTTGTGTCCTAGAGTGTCGAGGTCCTCGTTTTAATCTCTCTTGGGTGTTTAACATTTTGAACAGGATTACATGCAGAATGTTCACGGTAAAGAGATTGACCTCCTGAGAACCACTGTGAAAGTCCCAGGGAAGAGGCCACCCCGAGCCACGTCGGCCTGCGCACCCATCTCCAGTCCCAAAACCAATGGCCTGGCCAAGGACATGAGCAGTTTACACATCTCACCAAACTCAGGTAAGCCGGCAGCAGGCGCCCCGGAGGAGTCGAGCTCCGCGGCGGCCGTGGATGGTACGGCTTGGGGCAGGCTTGAAAGGCTGAGGCTCAGGCGGAGAGTAGCTGTCACGCGGTAGATAAAAGTCTGGGAGCCTCATCCCTTCCGTGAGGGATATTTCCTCTCTGGCTCCGGGTTCTGTGAACGCCAGGGAACACAGGGTCACAGCAATGCAGACCAGGCATCCCACTTTCCCAGGGTGGAGTGGGAGAAAGCAGAGTTTTACACGTGGGTTGGGTGTCTACGGGCCTTCAAAGAAACAGGAGTCGGTTTTTAAAGGTTCAAGGATTTACCTGTTTCCGGTAACTGAGTATAAGAGCAGGGAAACGGTGTAGAGCAAGATTAAAAGACAGCAGCGTGACCTCTGTGCAATTTAAACGCTCTTCCGTTTGTATTTTAACTGTCATTTGTCATCTCGAATACAACTTTAGTTTTCCTTACTCTCTTGAAAAGGAGAGAGGTTTTTTCACGTGGAGTTGGAGACAGTGTTTTTCCTGAGTGTGGTGTGTGTAGATGGCGCTCGCCGCTGCACAGGTGCCAGCCATTCCGTGCCACTGTTGGCTCTTACTGAAGAATCTGGGCAACTGTTTGCATGTGGCGTTGATCTTCAAGTGTTTCCTTATCAGGGAGGAGGGCCTTAGACCCTGGAGTTCCCACGAGCATTCTGGCCTCCTTCCTTTGGGATTCCTTCCAGAGTCCTCATTATTTCTCCAGCCAAAAAGGCCCTTCCTTCTCTCCCACCTTCCTCCCAGGAAGTGTTCATGCTGTGGCTGTGGAATCCTTGACCTTCAGGATCCCCGGATGTAGCAGTCACCGAATAGCCACTAATTTTTCACGTCCCTCCTAACTCCGCTACGTCTATCCATGTATTCATGTAGGGACACACACCTGTAATCCTGGCACCCTGGGAGACTGCGGCAAGAGGATCTGGAGTTCAAGCCCAGCCTGGGCAACATAGCAAGAACCTGTCTCAAAATGTAAAAATAAAATAAGCAAAGGGCTGGGGATGTAGCTCAGTGTGAAGGCCCTGATGTGTTCAATCCCTAAGCCCATTTAAAAAAAAAAATTAGTTGGGAGATTTTCTGGCAAAATCTAGAAATCCTGGTACACAATTAATAAAGAATTGTAACTGTCATTTTTTTTTTTTTTAGCTTTTAAAATTGTAAACATTCATCACATGCAGCATGATGTTTTGAAGTGTGTGCGTTGTAGAATGGTAAATGGAGCCATTTATGGAGTTTCTAATGTGTCCCCACCACAGCCCCAAGCCCCAGGGACACAGATCCGTAACACAGTCCCAGCCCAGGACCGAGGGAGCCTCAGCCTCCTGTTGGGGAGAAGACAGCAAGGCAGATGCAGCCAGGGCGGCGGGAGGGGTGCAGGGGCAGGAATGAGGCGGGCAAGGCTTGTCCGTGCTGAGTGTGAAGAGAGTTTGCTGGGCACGGAGTGAAAGGGAACTGAGGAGAGGAAGAAGCATGGAATGCGCAAGCTTAGGACTTCGAATTTCTTGATGTTGGGTTCTAGGTGCTGAGTACCACTTGTGCAGAGGAAAATAAAAAGTTTCATTACAATTAGGAAATAGAGAAGGCTGGTACCCCACACCGTGCCCATGGAGGGGCTTACGCCGAGGACCTCCCTCAAGGGATCGAGCTTTAGTCTCTGCAAGACCCTTGCTGTGGGGCGAGGGAGAGGGTTTGGCACCTGATTAAAATCCCTTCTCCATGGGCAGACCTTCAGTTTACCAGGGAACCTTTCCACCTCTCAACCAAGTGAATCCTGAATAAAAAGCCTGGTTGCTTTCCTTTGCTCTTCGGATCTTAAGAAGGGACAGAGAAGTGACGGTGACATTAGGAGCACAGTCCACTGTGGGAGAGGAAAGACCCTGGGGCCTTGCCAGCACTGGGGAGGTGGCCTCTTCCCTTGGCCAGCTAAGGCAGTCAGCTGATCCAGCCCAAAGAATGGGTGGAGCCTTAGGCAGTAGCTGGCTGCTGATTGGTCAGCCTGCTCCTCTGCTGGCAAGCCCGAGGCGGCGGGGTGGGGCGCTTCCGTAAGAGGCCACTTCCTTAATGCTGTGAAAATGGGAAAGTTAAATTTCCTGTGTCTAAACTCATTAAGCATAAATCCAGCTCTCTCATGAGGAATTCCACCCAACACAGCAAATGTAATTAGAAATAAGTCGATGCTATGTTTAAGTGACAGACTTCTAGCTATGAACAGTTATTTTACAGCTCTTTTCTCCAAAATTTAAATACCCTACTTCACCTTATTCTTCACTCATGACTCTTGAATTCTGCTATTTTGGGGGCGTCTTGTTTTGGTGGGGTTCTAGGTTAAACGGAGATGTTTGTTTCTCTTTATGCTTGCTTTTGTAAAAATTCATTTTCTTATCTAAATGTTGCTAAACCAGGTTGACGTTTTATGCCTTCTCTTATGGTGAGTGTGCATTCACATGATGCTGAGTATACACGCCCCTCGCTCTCCTACCAATAGCTCCTGTGATTGCTGTAGGATAAGTGTCTTGTGGAGACTCAGTCAATGGGTAGAACCATTCCTAAGGTTCTTGATACATAGTTCGCAATGTACCGTTTCAACCTGCACACTCACAGGTGTTGCTTCTAGGTATTGGGTTCAGAAGCTGTGCTAATCTGATAAAAAATGCCGTATGTTTTGTCTGTTTGGATTTCGTTACCCAGCGGCGAAGCAAGCATCTCACGGGCTGCAGTGATTCGGATACTGTAATCATGTACATGTATTCTTTGCCCGTTTCGTCACTGAGTACTTGTCTTTTTCTTATTGATATGTGAGAACTCTTTGTATATTTAGGATATTAATATTTTATAACATTTTTTAGGTATTTCCCTAATTTATTACTTGCTTTTTAACTAATATGGTCTTATGGACATGAGAGTTTTTTCCCGTTTTCATTCATAACCAAGTAAGTTTTGTATTTCTCTGGTTTCTCCCTCTTTGGAAAGCCTTTAATTCCAAAATCAGATCGTGATTAATACATGCGTACGTCTAGGATTTGCAGTTTTATTATTAGTCCCTCCGCTCTTTTCAACATAATTAACCTCTAACCCACCTTTAATTTGCTTGGGTCTGTGGTATGGGACAGCAAATGTAAGAAAATTGCCAGGGGTCCAGTCTGTCTCTGTCAACCTGTGTTCTCTCTCTGTTAATTCTGTGTGTCTCCTTCGTTGGACGATCAAAGCATTTAATCCAGTTGGCTGTGTTTCTGGGCTCGTGAGTGTGTTCGGTTGCTCTTTCCGTGGTAGTCTTACCGTTGTCGATTTACAGTGACCCGCCATGTGCACAGTGCCTAACCTTGATTCAGTTTTTATCTGGTAGCACAGCAGTTTTAAGTTTTCTTTTGCCTTCCAGGTTTTTTTTTGGCTATTGCTCTTTTATTTTCAAATGAACTTCAGAATAACTTAACCAAATAATCTCATTTTGACTTTAATTGGCAATTGCTTTTAAGCTGTTAATTAGGAAGGAACTGACATCTTCATATCATGGAACACAATTCTTCCCCAATGTACAGATTTATTTTAAAATCCTCAGTACAGTTTAGTGTTTTCCTTCATTTAGATCATGGATGGGTTTTGTTAATCTCTTCTGCTAGTGTGCAATTTGGAGTGTATGATGAGGCCAGTATTGGAGGGTCTAGTATACATCTAAGTGGTACAATTTAAAGAAGCTCTAGTTTGTGTATTTTGTGTATCCTGCCATCGTACTGAGCTCTCATTAATTGGAAGAGCTATGTGGATGCTTCTTCCATGTTTTCAAGAATACAGTCATTCCAAACAAATATTACAATGCCTAACTGTACATCAATATTGAGTTTTCATTTCTACCAACCAGTTTAATGATTTGGATACCTTATTGCTTTGCCTCCTCTGTCATTTATTTCCCATTATTACTGAGTCTCCTGCATACCCACCCTTGATTAATGCTCTGTGGATTGGGGGGCAGGGGCAGCACAAGACTTTCGTGGGAGAGCCTGCTCCTTGGGAATTAGAGCACCTGGACATCAGCACACCACGGCCATCGCTGTGGCTGGTGATAAGTGTTACGGGGACGAAGGAGCCTTGGATGGAAAATCATGGGGGAGGGGGAGGGGTGTGTGTTACTCGTAGTATTGGGAAGTGGTTTGACAGTCTGGAAATAGTGGCTGTGTGTCACACACTAGAATGCTGGAACTCTGACCTTGATGTCAATTTCTGCCATGAGCTTGGGAATGAGGAGGAAAAACACACTGTCAAAATAATGACCTTCTCTGCCGATAACCGAGCCCGGGGCTGGCCTTGGGGCAAGGCAGAGAGGCTGCAGCGCAGGTGGGGAGCCCCAGGCTCCATGCAGCAGCAGAAGGAGCTGGTTGTGGCCCCAAGTGCAAGGGATTCTGCGGAAGATAGGGCCAAGGGCATCGCTACCACCAGACACACAGAGCTCGGGCATCTGCACTCGGGGAGCCTGGAGCAGGAAGGTAACAGGCCTGAGAGCCACGGAGCCCCCGCTGTGGGGCTGATGTTTGAAAGGGGAAGAGACCGGGATGCTCAGGCCCCCACACTGTGCAGTGGAAAAGGAGGGGCGCTTTGAGCGGGAGGTGCATGCCTAATTCAGGTAGCCTGCCCTGAGACCCGCAGTCTTCGTCAACCACACCTGCCACACGCTACGGCAGCCTCTTCTCAGGATGGGTTCCCGAGGGAAAACCCTCCGTGGGCCCTGTCGACCCACAAGCTCCTACCCATGAATGCAAGTGGACAGCCAGGACATTCGCCAGGACCTGTCACCAAACTGTGAAAGAGCCGCCAATCACCTAATCCTGGGAGAAAAAGGGGAACAGATTTAGGGAGGCAAACTTTAAAGGAAATGATAGTGGTTATCACAAGGAAGAATTAAGAGATGAATCATTGTGTACATGAAGTGAAACAAAGATTATGTGAAAAAGCCATAGGAGAAACAA